CTGCAGGCGATGGCATGCTGGAGCACTACCTGTAAGAGCGCAGAGAGGAACAGGCAGCTTGTTATTTTATATAATGCCACACAAACATAATTTACTATCTGGGATTATCACAAGGTTAGGCGACCTGTGTATTTACCAGACGGAAACTCAGTTCCTAGTTTTATCTCAATGTTTTCTTTTTTTAATAAAGTGTGGGGATTCTTCTACTCTTGGTACTTTCTTTCATCTGTTTTTGATCTACGTTGTATGCTTCCTTGCCATGTGGCTGTGCAATGTGCCAAGTACAATGGCTCTTGAAGAACTCCATTCTCTGGTATTGGTGTTAGATACAGAATTGGCAGTAATAAGGGAAAAGCTGGCTTTTCACCAGTTTTACATAGCAGTCTCCCAGATACCACCACAACTCCAGTCCTCAGCGTGTTTCTCGCTGCAGCAGAACACCTGGAGAGGCAGCGAAGCTTGGCAAGATACTGGGTCTGTTTAACTTCTAAGGAGGTGAGGTGAAGAAAGGCAGCCTGGCCCTGAGAAAACCACACAGGACTAGGAATAGAGTAGACTCTACAGGAGCTCATGATACAAACCACAGCTGAGTGAGTGACGACTATCTGGAGATTGGCTTCCCAAGCATGCTCCTGAAATGGACACAAAGTACTAATGAAGAGGGACTATTGAGAAAGCATCTTAAAGTTAGGTGGAATAAACCTCATCCTGTCTGTACAGGAGAATGTTGTTATCCTACGCACGCAGAGCACTTACAGAACATCTTTAGAGGCAGTCTCTAATGGGCATCTCTCCTTCCCAAGGTTAACTATGGGTATTAGTAATGGGACAAATCAGACTGGTTTTTCATCACATGTAGGCATTGTGCATTTGATATGTGGCCAATGGCGCTCATATTCTTGGTATTTAATTGGTATATTAAAAGCTCATACTTTCTGTGTGGTTTGGGTGGTTGAAAAGTGGTAGGCGCAGGAAGTGCTAATGTCAGTCTCCAGCTGCCTTATACACAGGAAACGGAAAACTGAGCATTACTAGAGAGGGAGTCTGAATTGATTGGTTTTGTATATGTATTTGTCTCACTTCTGCTTGTCAGATCATAGCTGCCTTTTTACTGCCAATGATAACTTCTGCCATATCTTTACCGTGATTTGTGCACGTGCTAACAAACGAGCACAGAAGATAATCACTGAGCAAACAGACTGAGGGACAAAAAGAGCGATAGGCTTTAGATTGAATATATTCTGTTTGTGTCAGATGGGGATGCACAAGAGGGGAGAAAGGATAGCTCATAGTTAAAGGTTGGCAGTGAAAGTCAGGAGAACTTGGTTTGTTTTGCTTTTTGGAAAAAGAGACTCGTGCTTGCACAATCTGTTTACCTCTTTGTGTATCGCTTGCGTCGTCTATAAACGAGCATAATACTTCAGGCACTATCAGTCTGCAAAGCTTAATCCAAGGCTTAATCCACTAGTGTCTTTAAAGCGTTTTGGGATTCTCAGATAAAAATGCATGCAATAAGATTATGTCAAATCAAACTGATAATTAAAATAAACTTTTTTCCTTAATTGGGCTGTGAAACATACCATTCATATTTACATAAATAACAAGACATTAGGACAGCAAAGTTTCGGAGAGTGTGTAAGTCACTTATCTGGAATTAAACTCTGCCTGTTTCTGGAAGTGTTTAACAGTTTGGACTTTCCAATAGAAATGCACGCTGCTGAGCAGCAAATAGGGATGAAGACAGAAGTCTAAAGGAAAGAACAATGTGTGAAGTAACAGGGAAAAGTGGAAGGATTTGCACACTTCCCCACACAGCAGCCAAATGTCGTCTAAGCCAGATAACAGCAACGCTGGGAAGGTTGTGTTAATGCCTACCAGGCAGTCACCTCCTTTGGCGGTTATTGCTAATTCTCACAGCACCTTCCGCTGGTGCTGTGCTGCCCTTGGAGGCTGGGGATATTGTGAGGGTGCGGGAGGAGACTGGGCAGCAAGGGCTGCAGAAACAGCATTGCTGAGGGTGGCATTGCTCAGGTATGTGGGGTGAGGATTTTGTTAGGCAAACTGTCCTGACCAGTGGGGGAATAACAAGTGTAAAACATGTCAGAAAATCTTTCTCTTGCCAAATAGGCGTTGCATAATGGATTTATACATGTATTTTGTCATACACCTATTTGAGGTGGACTGCAGTGGTAACCCCCCATTTGACAGAGCCATATCAATACAAAACAGAACAAGATATTTTAACTAGTCCCCTAGCTGTAAGACCTGTACTTCTTGCCTCTATTCGCCAGACTATGTACACCCAAGATCCTGCAAGCAAAAGACTGTGTACAGTGTAAATGCAAGCACCAATAAAAAAAATCATGTTTACATAAGTTCATAGTTCCGTGCAATAATATCTATGAAATCTCATGTTTCAGATGCACTGACTTGTGCTTATTAAGCTTGACTTTAATCCACGGTACTCAGAAGAGAAGAACATTCTTTTTATGACATTTTTTCCCCAGTGAACAGCTTTACTCCTAAGTCTGATAATACCCTCTGGAGTGGGGAGTTTGCTGCTCTCACCTCTGATGGGATTTGGACCTGCCCTGTAAGGTCTGGGTTTCCAATCACTGTCATCCGTATGCCGAAGGAGGGGTAGTAGTTTGACACTTTATTCTGATTTATTAGAGTTTTCTCTATGTGAGACCACAAAAAGTGTTGCATTAGCTTCCGTCAAAAAGATAATGCCAGGAAGAGCTAACAGGTCTCAATGAACAGAAATTTTGTTGCTGTTTTAGGGATGTTGATACAATCTTCACCAGTTGTCTTAGGTGTAATGATTTTCTCTCTTATCTTGAAGACCCCATTGCCTTCTTACCCATATTTAAAGAATGAACAAGGAAATATCACATTACACAAAGAATGAATGGGGTTATACTTCCAAACAGTTATTGCAACTTGCCTTGCACAAACTGCCAAAGGGTTGCCTCTACTTGCAGTTGAGGGGGGGAGGGAGATATGGTCAGTAAACGGGAAATGCAAGAGAAAATAGCACCGAAATACAAGCTGTGTTCCCCTGATTATAATACTGAATAATCTAAAAGCAATCTCCTTGATGTCGCACATTTATTCTCCTGGATGTCTTTGTTAAACTTGGATCCATGCTGTGAAGTAAAAGAATAATGAAAAGGGGGTTTCTTTAACTTTGGCAGAGTGGTAAAAGCGTGGTTGTGGAGCAGGGAGTTCCTTTCCCAAACACCATGAACTGGGAATGAGAAAGCAGGGGAGGATACGAGACTGCTCCGAAGTCACGGCTGAGACCCCTCTGTTAGATATCAGGAAGGCTGTCATATCAGGAAGATAAATTTCTCCCACAGAGAGGATTTCACAGGAAGCCTTTTGGAAAGAAATGTTCTCATAAGTAAATTGTACAGCTAGTATAGATTCAAGGTTAAGAGGTCAGTACAACCTCTGTCCAAATGTTAGCAGGAAATAAAACTATAATAACATCAGCCTTTCACTGACATCACCTCCTTATTTATAGGCACCCTACAGCGTCTCTATCATTCAGTAAAAGTGATTATAGAGAGATGGCTTTATCTTGCTATAGTTGAAGCTGCAAGTATTTTCTATTACAAGCCCCATTTTTAGGCTGCGTTACAGCTTTTTCTCCTAAAGGTGGTTTGATCTAAAAGATGTCATGCTTGCTGAAAATACTAAAAGAGTTTTCCATGTAGGTTTAAAGATGAACAGGCTTTTTTTTAGGGTTTTTTTTTTTTTGAGATACAGATTATTTAAAAATTACTCTGGCATTTCAAATCTCACTCTATTGAACACTTGTTTGGGTCTGTTGGGCCTTTCGTTGAAGCAGCTTGCCCAGTTACATAAAAGTCAAGAATGGGCCATGGCAGGCATAAAGGCTGACAGTAAAGCAGAACTGTGGAGGGAGAAAAATTATCCAAAAAGCCTCTGTGCTTATATGCTACCAAACAGGAAACTGGAAGGTGGCAAGTCTGGAAAGAAGAATAAACACTTAAGTTTTTAATGAACTTGCTTTAGAGGTTGTTAAGAAAATATTTTCATAAACAAGGGAATAAATTCCTTTCAACTGCTCGTTCAGGCATCTGCCTCTCCCAGATTCTGGGAGTGTCTCTGCTCCCACCAGGGCTGGGGAGCAGGGGAGGACCTGATCTTTCTGAGATAAAAAGCTGAGTACTTTTGTGCTCCCTGAGCAACAAAGTCTCACTGTGACACTCTACTCTCCTGGATGGCACTGGTTGCTTGGCATTTCCGTGCTTCACCACAGACTGTGTAATGTCTTTTCCAGAGAGCATTTATAGAGTTGAGTTTTCTTCTTAGCCGTGCTGAGTAACCAAGTAGAATTACTCTGAGCTTGAAATGGCTTTCAGTATTCCTTTAGAGTGCAAGTATGCTGAGCTTTATGCAATGCTGGAAGGATGGCTCTTGTAAATTAACAATACAAAAAAGCAAACATCAAACTTTATCAATACATATCAGCTAGGTTAGCTATCTAAGAAGCATATGTTCGAACAGCTGGTCTTAAAAATGCTTTGTGAAAGAGGTTTCTTACAAATCCTGCACAGCACTTTGGTTTCACTGAAACTATTCTCCATTGCCTACAAAAATGTTTGAACTGGACTTTGGGAGGCTGATAGTTAGTCTATGTCTCTTTCCTAAAGCTCAAAAGGTCAGGTGACGTCTGCTAGAGACTTCGTTACTTCTGGTCCCTATGGTCTCACAAGGTTGTCTGGGTGAAGGGCTTCTTCCTGGCCAGGAAGTCTGGTCCCTGAAAAAGGCTGTGACAAAATTCAGGCCAAGTTCAAGGAGAGAGTCACAAAAAGCCCTTTTTGGGCTGAATTTCCAATCTTGGCTTCTTATCATTTGTATGATAGTGTATAAATATATACGTAAAAATAGCTTGGAAAACAGATATATGCAAAGGTGTTCCAATGAACCTTTTGGACAGCATATACCTTCTGGTAACTCTTACTCACCAATGCAAATTCTTTGTTGAGGATCATCTGTTCCACCAGGGACGACTCATTGTGGAAGAGGTGAGGCTGCATGTGACTCCACATATGGGGAAACCACCAAAACTCATCTACTGACCTCAACAACAGGTCATCGCCTTTGTCTTCCTCTTCGGTGCCTACAAGAACAAAAAAAATTACAATAAAGTAACAGTAGAAACCGCCTATAATTGTTTTTTAAAGACCAGAGAGGCTGCCATAAAACCTAACGTCCTTGGCCTTGCTCTATCTCACTGCTGAAGACAGACCCTAGCATATTGCAAAATAAATGATATCACGAATGGCAGCTGCCTGTCTTTTTCTGTTCCTGGTATGGTATTAATAGACAGTAATTCTAGCAAGAATAAGTTTTTCAGGACTGACTGTTGTGTTGTGTACTACACCAGGAATGTTTAGAAGTTGAGGCTGCCCCACGAAGGTGGAAGCTGGATGGACTCGTACCCACCTGCTTTGGTATTTCAGGATACTGCACAGTTGTAGCTGGCCAGGGTGGCAGCAGAGAAACCTCTGTGCTCAGACTCTTGCCAAAACCAGCACTTGCTCGGAGCTACCTTAGCTTCATCAAATTGAAATCTGATAATTTCTGCTAAAATATGAAGCAAGTTTGCAGTAGTTTCAAAGTGTATCTGTGCAGAAAAAAACGGAGCTGTAATGACAATGGGGTTTCAAATGCCATGTTTCCTATGGTTCAGTATTCCGTTTTTGCCAAGTTTACTATTTAAGTAAAAAGAATAAAAATACCTGTGTTAGTGAGAAGTATTTGCTTCAGGCAGAAGCAAGAAGTGGTCATAACAAGAGTATCTTCCACCTGAGAAATGATACAATGCTACTTCCAACATCTGCAGGCATATGTCTCCAGTTTTTTTAAATAGGAAAGGCAAAGTTACATTTGAATAACTTCACCCTCAAATTACTGAACAACATTCAGTTTATTGGCAGCATTCTTTCTCGTTCCTTTACCATTTCAATTTAAGTGCTTTTATTTAGCTTCAGTCAAAGAAATATTTGTCAAAATCTGTCTACTGATGCAAACACAGATAGCTTTCTTTTTACAAGCCTTTCCATGTTTTGCAAGCTCCCTGGAAGAAAATACTCTGTGGATATTGCTGTTTACTTTTGCGGTATGAAGCAGGAACATGCAGATGTGGCTGTTCAGCATATGCACTTCAGCTCTTTATTTTTGTTTTTCCTATCTGCAGTGTTTTGAAGAATGCTACTGCACAGTGAGAGCGTTACTTTGAAACTTTCTCATAGCACCACTAAATCAGTTTACTCCCCGTTTGTAGCGCTCTACAGGTCGTAAGAAAGCATGCAGTTGCCTCTGCTGGTGGGAGTACCTCTAGAGAAATAATATAACCTCATTGGCTAGGTACTTTGTTGCTGAAAAGAAGTGGTAGCAGTTCTTTTGCATGATGGAGCAGAAATTCTCATAAATTTCTACATATGGTATCTGGTGAATGGCCGTTCTCTTGTTTATTGGGGTAGGTGGTAGGCATGCACCCACCCGGGCGTGGGTACGTGCAAGGGAAACGTGATCAGAGAAGGAGAGACGCTTAATGTCGGCTTTCAAAACAGGACACGAGGGAAAAGGGTAGGAATCAGGGAAGCCAGTGAAGGTCCCACCGGTAGAACAAAGGCAGAAAACTGAAGGTAGGGATGAAAAGAAAAGTGGGTGTTTGAAATTTAGATGGAACTATGGTCATCTGAGGTGAGATTTAGGTCAAAGTGCAATTTAGTGCCTTATTAACATTTGAAGTAGAGGATGATTTTTGAAAGTTTCATTACTAAAAATATATTTTAATTGCTTTTTTCTGCTAATTTTGTACATTTAGATAAATTTCATCAGACTGAACTTTTTTTTAAACTGTAACAAAGATTAAATAAGAGAAAGCATAACGCTTTCCAATTTAGAGTTCATAATGGCAGAGCTGGAACAAATATGTTTGAAGTTCAAAGCTTGTCATTGTTGTTACTTTTGAGGACAATTTTCTTTACAAACCTCCAAAAAGAAAGTCATTTTGATTCTGTAAATTCTGAAGTAAAGGTACTTTAAAAAAAAACTCATGTAAAGTTTGAATAGGCCATTTGATGGGTGCTTATATCTTAAATATTTTTGCCTAAACCCTTATTCAGAGTATTGGAGGCCACCCGAGGAACTGGTTTTCATTTCTTGAGCAGTCAACATTATCTATGTGACTTTCTAGCTTCATTTTAATGTGAAATCTGAACAATGTAGTAGACTTATAATCAAAGAGGTGAGCATATATCTACTTTGAGATGCAGTGTGCACTTTGCATGGGCAGGTAATTATTCAAAGTTTGTTTATACATAATAAATATTCCCACACTTTAAAACCAGAACCATAACTTAGATGTCTCTTTTGAGCTCAAAACTCAAACTAATTTTGAAGTTTATTATTGATACTCTTAAGTTTTAATTGCAAATCCTGAGACTGTCTTAATTTATATAGCTACATCATAAACGAACAGAAAATAGGTGCTAAAACTAATAGATATCGGTAAGTTTTTGCTAACGGCCTTACATCTACAGTATATCGTGATCAGTGCTATCAAAAGGAACGGTGGTGGCATTAAGAATATGAGTAGTGAAGCTGATATGTCTGCTATTATAATTGCATGTAGGCATACCAACAAAAACTGGCATTTGTAGTACCAGTGTCAGCAACATCTTTTGATGAAAACGTCTCACTGTTTAATCTGCCAACACATTTCCATGGTGAACTCCCTCCTGTAGTTTGAAAATGATCCAAGTTTTGGACAGGAGAGCAAAATTGTGCATTAAGGAACTCAGTAAGGCACAGCAGTTTCAGAGTGCGAATCAAATATGTTGATTATCTGATACTGAAAACCTCTCTGGGTAAACAAGCTACATTTACAGTAATTAAAGAATACCTTTCCATGTTTTATTTATAATGAGTCAGTAAAGTATATATTGCATGGAGAATACTTCGAAAGGTTTCCACTAAGCTGATATGCCAAAACACTACTACCAACCTGTAAATGAATCGCTTGCTTAAAAACTCAGATGTATCCCTGAGTACAGGCTGCAGCAGGTCCCTTAACGGAGGCAATGACAGGCTTCAACTCATTAGTAGTTTTGTGCTATTTCTGTAAGCCTTGAGAGCCTTAGGAGAACAGGCACACACATTCTCCTGTTTTCTCTCCCTGCAGCAGCTGCAAATCTGAAATTGGTCACAGTCATTTCAAGTGCGTGAGGAAACCTGTGGACTGAGTAGGAACCGACTTTGTCATTAAGGAAACTGGATGGCATATGGATACTACTGGGATTGACAAAGAGGAGTGGGGGGGGTTGACTTTTGTAGAAAGCTGTATGTTTTGTGCCAGCCGCAACTCAGTACATTATAGAATCTACAATTGTCTCTTTCCACTTCTCCTTCCCTCCCCGAATTATCTTTCTCTGAGGTGGACATTGCAATGACTTATGCCTGTGTGGATGGCCACAGTAAAGCAGCATCCTACCTTCAGAGTGGCTCAGAGCCTTTGGCTGTTTTTGTTTGTTTTGTTATATTACATATATGTCCAGTTAATCTCCACAAGAAATAACTATACAGGCAGGTCAAGATAAAGTGAGCAGAGTACTGAAAGTCTTTCTCCTAAGTTGCTCTCTAATCATAGGTCTGCCACTGGCTTGTTATATGACTTTAGGCAAGTAATTCCATCTCTCTGCACCTCTCATTTTTCTCAGACTCTACAGCCTACACCTTTAGTCTGTAAGGTTTTTGGGGCAGCAGTTGTTTTGCATTATTTGCTTGCTCAAGGGGGAAATGGCTTGGACTTGAGCAGTTGCGCTTAAGAGGAACAGTGATACACACAAACATAATTTTGGTTGCCTTTTCTCTGCTCATCCTTCAAATGCTTTCTCATCTCCCCATCTCCCAGGGTCTTAAGTACTCTCCTAACTGGTGGGGAAATGGTAATGTAAAAGGTGGGTAAGCTCACCTGCTCAGTGATCCAATATTGGCAATGAAAAGTGAGGTGATACTATGCCTACACTGAGAAGATGGGTAATCTTCACTTGCCCGCTTTACTCTAGCTACTTCACTGTCCAGCACAGACAGAGGTATCACTCCTAGCTCTTATGTTTCTCCTCTCAGGTTCTAGCTGCTTTAATGCCTCCTTGTCTCCTCCAAATAAGCTTCTCGCCTTTCCTGGTGCACCTGGAGCAGTAGGTCCTGCTGGGGAAGGTTGAGTGGGTTGAAGGTAAGGTTTCTTGAGGTGGTCTTCACGGGTGAGAAGGGCGTGGGGTTTGGTGAAAAGAAGGACAGCAGACATCTTCACTGCAGTGAGCTGCTAAACAAGTCTTTTTTGCCATAGCAGTACCAGGCAGGTCAGCAGCAGGAGTGGAGATGCGGCAGAAGTGGAAAGGGGAGGAAGGAGAAAACAAAAGGAGCATTCATTGTGCTGGGGAGAAATGGAGCAAAAGAGGAGGAGGAGATGCAAAAGTGCCTGATACTCCAGAAAAACACAGTGTGCGTGTGTGGAGCCTTATTACTGCATGCAGTACCTAAGGAGCACGACTTCAATATTCATTTAATTGAAATTCCTTTTCATCCTGTTTTTCTCTTTCTTGGCATAAGAATGCACTTCTAAAACGCATGATTCGCCATTTATCATTCCTCCCAACTCACAGACCACTGACATAGATTATCTTTACAATCATAACACAATCTTGTACATCCTATTCAAATACTTATGCCTGTTCAGAGTTTGAGACATGATTTTTTTAGCTTCATATTTCATCAAACCTATGATATTGGCAAATCCTTAGCACATCTTCTGTACTGTCCTGCCTTTTGCAAAATTACAAAGTTCTTAGCAAATAATTTGCTTTGTTCACATCCCTAAGATTTACTGTCACATGTCTTTCAGAAAAGCACCAAAGACATCTGCATACAACTTCACTTGTAACCTACCATTGCTTCAGTGGACACCAAATTACACCCTGAATGCCTGACAGAGTGTAGCACATATTTCCCATTGCTCCACTGAGCCAAAGTGTTATTTAACAAGGGCATGTTTAAAGTTAGGTTTAAAATCCTATCACCTATTTAACTGTAACTACCTGAGAGCATGAAGTTCCTTCTTACCTGTGTGGTAAAATTTTCCTGAAAATCCAAGGTTGAAGGTAAAATTTGCAACCTGAGTGCGCAGTAAATTTTGAGTCTCTAGTAAAGCCTGAAATAAATAAGAAATTAACATGCATTTAGAAAAATAAATGTAAATTTTTGGAATGCCTCATTTTAAAAATTGTGTCCTACTGAGGAGATGCAAAAAGAAGATTCTGTTAAATGTTTCACTTTGTTTGTTTGTTTAGATTATTACTACAAGTGTTATTTGATCCTTCAGAATGCGATGACCTAGCAATGCTGTTAATAGTTCCTAAGTACCAAACTATGTGGCAGTTTCACAGTTTGGACCAAGAGCTTACGTATTACTTGCATGATCTATGGCAGGGCTTGAATCTAGCCATCTGGGGCAGCAAAATGCTAAACCGTTAAGCCACTCACATTGTGGGTTATTAATGAAGCTTAATAAAATATTTTAAAACTCAAAATAAAATTAGACTATTAGTTGGCATCCAGATGTGGAGGCTTTGGGATTCACTTACCTGCGGAAACATTTTAAATTGTGTCTCAGTACCAAATGCAGGCTTAAGCATGAATGAGAAAAGCTCCCATTTTGACCTGCGGTAATGTCCATTTTTCTCATGTCTAAAATTAAACCCTTGTTCTTTTTTTTTTGTTCTCCTCCGAGGAAAAGAAAAGACCAATCTAAATGAAATGGAGGAAAAAATATTGCTTATACAAGAAATGGATATAGACTTGGGTCACCCATCCAGTTTGTTTTACGAACCCACTTCCGACTTTTCCCAAACAGACCACCAGCAAAAGAGGAAAAGCTAGTGCTTCAGTCAGTGTCCATGAGCTATCTAGATTTACTGTTAAGACTTTAACTCTTCACTGCTCCTAAAGATAATCTTCTCTACACAGGCATCTGTCCACTTGGAACCACCAACCCACGTAATGCTGGACATGCTACCTACGCAAGATGGATAGTGCATTTATCCCCTTACTGGTCCAGGCAATGCTGACTGGTTCATAAGTTCTATTTTCATCAGTTTTCCATATCTCTATTATGTGGCTCTTGCAAGCTTTTCCCATTATCTATTAATAACATTTCTACTGATCAAATATACAGGTTCTTCCACAGTTCAAAGACAAAGTGAACACAGTGGTTTACTTATAGCCCAACTGCAGCTAATGTTTCCTTTCATTTGGTAAAATTACAATTGGTATAGTCATTAGTAATATCACTTAACATTACAGGAAAATGGCATCACCTTTTTCCTCAGCCCACTGGTCTAAATTTTTCAAAACGTGAAATACCTGTGACTATAAACCAAAAATGCAGTCAGTCCATTGAATGAAACAGCTAGAGTTTAAGAAATTGAGATATGGATGAGAGCCTATGCAATCCTAGCCCACAGTGGAGCCAAACAAAACAGGTCAGCTTCTGTGGTGTCACTACTGGTCATATTTTCCTTTGCACTGCAGTGAGTTTGGAGGTGCTGGCAGCTACTGTCAGCATTTGCTGGAGGCTGTTAACCTTTCAGAGTTACTGACCACACGCTAATTACAACACATTCGGAAGCCATGCGCATTTGAGCACAAGGCTCTTCTGAAGCTTCATTTGCTAGCAGTCGTCTTCTAAAGAGGCATCATCTGAGTGCTAGGCAGCTTGGGGATGTAATATAAGAGGCTGTCAGAAAGTGTGCATCTGCCTTCATTTTTTTAATATAAACATTTATTGGGCTTTAAGGAAGACATAAAACAAAAACAGTTACCAGCTATCATGGTCTCCAAGCAAATACGTTACTGAAGGAAAGGAATAATGCAATCTAATGATAGTAGATCATACGCTTTAGAATTGAATATTAAGATAGCAGTATGGTTTCCAGCATATCTTGCCAGACATTTAATAAGCTGATTATTTCACTTCTGTGACTTTTTCCACATGTGGCACTATATTTATGTACTACACAACTAGATGTTCACTAAAACATAAAACCTTGGAGATCAACATGACTGTTAGCTAAGCCATTGAGGAAAATCCCCAGCTGATACAAATGCATTAAATTGAAACCATTAAAGTCATCAGCTTAGAGTCTGAGACATTATATTTTAAAACATAATTTTCCAAGTTACAGAGCATTTTATATATGTTGAAAAAGATTGATGGGCTGAGCAAAATCAACTCAATTTTTGTTTGAGGAAAGAGCGCTTTGAGAAATTATTATCACCCAGCATATAGTATGAGAAACAAACATCATTATATCACTTTGGTTTTTTTCCAATTTCCTTCATGATCACATCTCTCTTAATAAGATCACAAAACTAGGGAGATAGGAAGAAATGTTCCTCCCAGTGAGGTCTCATTAAAACGCAGAGCAAGGATTAAGATGTAAATCCTATAACCTGCAGTGTGTCATGCATTTTTCTCTGTCTAAAGGGCAAATCCGTCACTCAAACTGGATTTGGCTCAGTCCTGAATACTTGTTTTTACTGCAATTTCCATATATGCACATTAACCTAAATAATATGCTGCTAAAATTCATTTCATGACTTCAATTGCTTTTAATTCTAAAAAAATATTGTCAAATAAGTGAGTCTAAACATTTTATCACTGCTTGCCTGTATGTAGAGCTGAGAAGGTATCGTCCACATCCTTAACAATAAACAAACAAACAAACAGTATCTGGGTGATTAGGGTCTGCTTTCCCTATTTTTAATAAATTTATATTCAGACAAAATTGCTGCTGACTCATACTGCCTTCGTTG